CACACGCAGGTTTTCGTGCCCAGGTGGAAAGAGCTGTGGGGTGTACAGCTGGATACACTTGCTACTATTCCAGACACTTCCTACTACTCTAAACGCCTGACATTTTAATTCATTTAATGCTCACGGCATCCCCACGAGATGGACACAGTGATTAGTATCCGCACTGTATAGATAAAATCCCAATGACAGGTACCTGCTTGCCCAAGCTCACATGGTTGGCCACCTCCACAGGTCCAGGGTCCTTGAGCTGGGTGGTGTCACTGGACATGGCCAGGATCCAGACTCTGCAGGCCAACAGGTGTCCCTGAAGAACAAAACAGTCTGTGCTGGAGCCAGGACACAGAAGGTCACCATTGATGCATCAGTCTCTCCTTGTCTGGCATGTGCATTTATGAAGTGCGGGGTTCCAGGCTCTAAACTACCTGTCTGGAGGCAAGAAAACTCTGGGAGTATTCAGCAAAGAATGACAGAATTCAGTATGTCATCACAAATAGGCAAGTGCTGAGACGGGGAGTTGGGCAGAGCTAGTAGGGGGACTACTCCGGTCCTGTCCTGAGGGCTTCCTGGAGGAGGAGGCACTTGAGATGAGAATAATGAGGTAATAGGTGCTAGCTGGGGAAAGATAGAGAAGCAATATTCCATCCAGAGACAATATGTGCACCAGACTGAGGGCATGGAGATCTGCCCAGGCCCAGGGGGTGTGCAAAAGACCGTGCAGGGGCTGTGCTCAGTAAAGGTGAATCGCAGGCCTGCCTCTCTCTGTGTGTGTCCTCCACAGGGCGCCAGCACACTGCTGGAGCTCCCAGGCGCACACGGGGAGGGCACTGCCTGTGGGGATTGTGACCACGCAGTGCTCAGTAGAGAAGACGACACAAAAGGCCTACAGCGTGTGACTTCATTGATAGGAAACATCCAGAACAGGAGGATCCAGAGATCAAAAGTGAACTTGTGGGAGACTGGGGAAGGGGACAAGGCCACTATTCAGGGTGATGGCTTCTTTGTTGGGTGATGGGATGTTCTAGAGGCAGACAGAGGTGATAGTGGTGGATACATGAAATGCCCCTTAATCATACACTTTTAAAATGATTCATTGTGTGATACGTGGGTTATATCTCAGAGAATATATATTGTGCTAATAGTGCATATATATGTATATATGTACTTATATGTATATAAATGGTTCTAACTTTGAGTCACACAAGCATTGGTTTGATTCCTTGCTCTGTCACCATCCAGCTGTGTGACTTCAGCCCAGTCTCTACCTCTCTGTTCCCTTTTTGTAAAAACAGGTTATTAATAGTACCTACCTTGTACAGTTGTTGCAAGGATTTAGAGATGACGAAAGCCAGGTATGGTGATTCACACCTGCAATCCCAGCACTCTGGGGGTGGAGACAGGAAGATCCCTATCCTAGGCTGGCCAGTGCAAAAGCTCAAAACCCTATCTGATAAACAAAATAAAAACAAAAGGACTGACAGAGTGGCTCAAGTGGTAGAGCACTTGCCTAGAAAGTGCAAGGCCCTTGAGTTCAAATCCCAGTACCCTTACACACAAGAAACAGAGAGAGAGAGAGAGAGAGGGAAAAGCAAAAGATGACAAGTAGCTAGGGAGACAGCTCAGTAATAGAGCACTTGCTTAGCCTATGCAAGGCCTTGAGCCCAGGGGTGGAGTGTCTCACTGACACACGTGGAAAGTGGGCTCAGAGAGGTCAAGCGACTTGCCCAAGGGAAACAGGAATGAAGCTGGAATTGGAGCCCTCTCTAGGGCTGGAGGCTGGCTCAAGTGGGAAGCAAGTGGGTGGACATGAGTGAATGACAGTGCGTACCAGCGTTTGGGGAGGTGTGTGCACAGCAGTGGGTCTGAGGAGAGGGTGCTTGCATGTGTGTTCCATGCCTGTCTACCTAAAACCTGCAGCTGACCTTGCCAAGTTTGTACTGCTCTTTGTCCAAAGAACACACACAATTATCCTACACCGTGTCCCCAGGGCAGCCACTGTCAGGGCAGGACTGAACTTTGGTGACCTGTGGCAACTTCTCTCCACTCAGCATGAACCCAAGAGGAAGGGGAGACTCAGGTAAAACAGCGTCTCTTCACCCTAGATTCTCCCCAGGGCCCAACCAGCTACCCACCCACCAATTTAAGACTCCTGGCCACGAAGTGGCTCCTTCACTCTGACCCTCAGTCTCTTCTTCTGGAAAATGGGACAACAGCATCTTCCTCATGGGGTTGAGGTCAAGTTTAGGGGTGTTTGTAGCCCATGGAGGACTGAAGAAATGTGGTGGCTGTTATTAATACAGTAAATTTGGAAGCAATTCCTGTCCACCCTTGGGTTGTGGTGGGAGGACCTCACAAGGCATGAATTGGTAGGAATAGTAAGAGAACAACTGTCACAATATACAAGCCCTGGGGTAGGGTGTGGCTTGCTGTGCAACAGTGAGCACTTGCCTGCCTGAGTGAGGCCCTGGGTTCTGTCCCCAGCACCACATTAAAAAACATAAAAAGATGGGTAGATAATAGCGTGAATGTTAGTAGTGTTCATCTGTTTATACTTTCTGTGTGGAAGTGTCACGAAGCCATGCAATGACTGAAACACTATAGAGTTTGTCCTCTTGATAATCCATGAAATAGATAATTATCCCCATTTTCAGAAGAAGAAACTGAGGCACAGAATGGTTGAGGTCCTGGCTCAGTGTCCCTCTACTGGGACCCCACTCACCATGCTTGGCCTTGGGGCCCTGGGATCTTGCACTTACTGGACAGGGAACCTCCAAAGGCTACAGGACCAGAGGTCACTAGGTGGCCCTGGTGGATGGCCAGGGTCAGGTAAGCGACAGCTGGTTGCAGCTCGAGTGGGTGTAGCCAGCAGGGACCAACCTTGGGGGTCACACACCAGTGGGGGAGCCAGGAAGAGCTGGAGCTTGGGGTCCCCCAGCTCTCCCCATGAGCCTCTCCAACGATGGCACACCCCAGTCTTTCCTTCCCCAATCCCTCGGGACTCCCTCAGCCTCCTACTTCTCCATCTCAGGGACCCCCCATCTTCCTCTTAACCCCTAGGGCTCCCTCCTCTCGCCCCACACCCCATAGCTCTCGGATGCCTTCACCCCCTCAGGCTCAGGTCTCCCCACCTAGCTCTTCCCCTCACCCACGCCCCCCCCCCCCGCCCCAGCCCCTCTTTCCACACCTTACACTCCCGAGCCCCCACTCCCGTCTCCTCACCTTGCTCTCCCCGTGTTCCAACCCCCACCCCCGTGCCCTAACCCTTCGGGGGGCCCCCCTTCTTCACACACATACACACACTGCACCCCCTTGGCGCCTCCCCCGCCCCTGGGCTCCAAGCCCTGCCCCTCTCCCTCCCCCTCCCTCCCCCTCCCTCGGGGTTTCCCTCCCTCCCTCCCTCCCTCCCTCCCTCCAGCTCCAGGCCCCCCTCTCCCTCGGGTTCCACTCCTTCCATCCCAGGAGGGAGCCCCGCCGCTCTCCCTCGGGGACTTTCCCTTTCCCTTTCCCCTGCTCTCCCCGTCCCCCTCCCCGCGGGGCTCCCCAGCCCCGTGACTCCCCCGCACTCCGGGGCTTTCCTCGCGGCTCCGTGGAAAGGTCACGGCCTTCAGACAGGGCCTCCTCCGCCCCACTCGGCCCTAGTTCCGAAGCCCCGCGTCGTGGCAGGGGGAGGCGACATGGCCCTGGTGCGCGCCCACCCCGCAGACGCGGGCAGGAAGACTGAGGCCGGGCGGGCCGGGCGCCCGGGGCGGGAGGCGCGGCGCGGGCTCTGCAGGACTCGGAGGCGGCCGGCCCCGCTGCCAGTTTCGGTTTAGAGCAAAACGCAGCCCGTGCCAAGCCCAGCGGGGCCGGGAGGCCGACTTCCTGGGGTATTTTTCTGCTTGTTGATTTTAGCTTGGGGAAAGAGAAAAAAATTTTTTTTCCCTAGTGCAACTAACAGGTCATCCCGGGGAAGGCCTCTGGGTGGGTAGGTGGGGGGGACATTCCTGGGAGAGGGGTATTCCCAAATAATCTTCCTGCAAAGCTGGGTCCCAGAAGCAGTTCTGGGTCCCGCCTCGCTGTGTGGTCCCAGGTGCTGGCGTGACCTCTCTGGACCTTGGACTGCGGTGGCGGCTGGGCAGTTAGGGGCTGCAGCCACCACCGCCACCAGCACCACCCCTCCCCCGAGGCGCGTCAGTGTGCGCCCAGAGCCTGGGGTTGGCTCCAGCACACCCGGTAACAGCAGTGGCTTGGCGGCCAGGTTTCGTAATAAACCGGTCTCTTAATTGCTACAAGGCAGAAGGAAAAAAAAAAAAAAAAAAGCAAGATTCGCAGGGGTTGGGTGGCGGCGCCCGCTGCAGAGTAGTGGCACTGTTTTTGCAAAGGAGCCTGGAGCTAATAGGACTGAAGTAACACTTCCTGGGGAGGGGAGAGGAGGGGAAGGGAGGGCGCTGCTGGAGCACACGCAATGTGCGGGGTGGGGGTCTTCTTCCTTCTCTGAAGCCGAAAACACACCAGAACCCAGACGCTTTAGAAATTTATTACAAGGCCATCATAGTAGAAATAAAAATATATGTCTGGAAGCTTGCCGTCTCTTTCAGTGGTTTGAGTAACAAAATAGATTGTCTATATGTCATTAATATGCAAAGTGGGAGTTCATGGGTACAGAGCGACATCGGTCCCAGCTCCCAAGTGTTAGTCCTGACCAGGGTCACCACCCTGGTCACGTTTCGCAGACGTCAGCTCCAGTCTCAAGCAGAGTGGGGGTGGCGTAAAGTCTCACCCTGCCCCTGCATGTAGAGTCCAGCCCCTCCATGATGGGGGCAGGCAGCAGCTCCCCACTCCGACTTCTGCTCTGTCACCAGGCCTGGGCTCCCGTGTCCCTTCTCCTGCTGGCCCGGGAAGGGGATCCCCCTCTTCTCTCTCGGTGGCCATCTCTGGCGCTGCTTCCGGCTGGCCGCCACACTCCCCGCTCCTCATCCTCAGTCTCAAAGACTCTGCCCCCGCCGGTCTCGTGGGTTGGGTTGTTTTTTGGGGGGGTTGTTCTTGGGGGAGGGGGTCAAATATGTATTTTATTATTTTTTTTTTTTGGCAGATCTCAACAGGTTCCGATGGTGGGAAGGACCTCAGCGCTCCTGAAGCGAGATATAGGGGACCCACTGGTTGTTGCCCCGACTTTCTTCGCAGTAACTGGCTACCTCCACCAAGCCGTGGCTCTTCCAGGCGTCCGTGTGAGGATTCTGGGGTGGGGGGACAAAAGCAAGGGTTCAGAGCGCGCCCCAGGAGTGGTGGGGAGCCTCCCGCTCCTGGGGCCCCTGTGGGGAAAACAGGCAGGCTCAAAATAGCTGCCCGGTGATGAGGCCCTGCCCAGGCTGCCCACGGGACATGCCGAGCATGGCTGAGTGCTGAGCCGGTGCAGGACGGGTCACAGCCGACTTTGTTGACAAACACGGGCCCAGGTGCCCGGGCAGGGCGGGGCGGGGACCCAGCTCACCGTGACCAGGAGGCAGTGCAGGTCGCGGGCCTCGGTGGTGTCCTGCGTCTCGGTGGGCTCTCCCAGCAACTGTGCCAGGCGCTGCATGCCTGACACCCTTACGATGTCGATGTCATTGTCGCAGCAGAAGGACTGGATGAGGGTGAAGTGGATTTGCAGAGCGATGTCGTCCTCTTCCTCCTCGTCGATGGCCAAGAGGCACAAGACTACACTGTCAGGGTCCCTGAGGGGCCAAGGGAGAGACGGCGGGTCAGGTGGGGACACGGAGGGACCGCCATGCACAGGGAGAGTGCGGGGGGGTGGTGGGGCAAGAGAAACCAAGGGTGCAGGGACTCGCGGCTGCACACAGATGGGTGGGGGATGGGGGGCGTGTGGTTCAAAGTGATGGGGGAGGGGAACAGGACCTTCAAGGGAGGGGGGCTTGCAAACGATGCAGCGTGGGGACTCTGCAGCCCCCTTCCCCCAGACGGGCAGAGGAGCCCTGAACCCACTGCGCGGAGCACTTGGGGAAGTCCCAAGCCAGCTCCATGCAAGAGAAGGGGGTTAAGGAGCGTGCAGAGCAGAGGGACGCCCCCATCCGCGCCCAGCCCGGGAAGGGGGGTCTGACTCACACATTCATCAGCTTGGCCGACTCGTACACCCCCACCGTGAGGCGGTCCTGGCGCTGCGCGGCCACCAGCAGCTCCTCCACCGCGGCGGTCACGGTCTGCATCCTGACACCAGGAAAGAGAAGGGTCAGCGCCGGACGAGCCACCAAGTGCTACACCCCTACCCATCCCATCCCATCCCGGCCCAGCCGACTTCAGGAGGCGGCGGGGAGCCCTGGCTACTCACTTCTGTGCCGCGTTGTCGCACGCCACGAGCTCTTCCAGCGTCATGTTGCAGTTATAATCCACAGTGGATGAAGCCCCACGACAATCCCCAGGAAGAAATTGCAAAATCCGAGCCAGAGAGCCCAAAGCCTTCCCACGGAGCCGGAACAGTCAAAGATCCTCAGGAAGCAGCGAAATCTCTCTCTCTCTCTCCAAAAAAGGCGGAAAAATGATTGCAAAGTCCTCAGCGAAAATAATCCAGTGGGTCACAAAGAACAGCTTCAATCGTGGGCTTCAACGATATGAACTCGCGGCCGCCGGCGCTGTCTTTTATAGACTTGCCCCACTGGGGGCGTGGTCTCGGCGGGATTGTCTACCACTCTCATTGGCGCAAAAACAAAGGCCAGAACAGCCAGCGATGCGGTTGGCCGGCAGTTGGGAGAGGGCGGAGCGCCGAGCGAAGGAGCCCCACGTGGGGGCGAGAGCTGGGAGGAGGCAGGGGGGGCCGCAAGTGCCAGAAAAAAAAAAAAAAATACAGAAGTTTTTCTCCTGATTTCCCGGCAGCCGCACCGCGGTTCGGGGCGCGCGCGGGATTTCCAGCGCGCGAGGCGGCCTGGACTTTCGGGGTAGGGGGGCTGGAATCCCCTCCCTGTCCCCGGGGAGTCCCCGGCCCAGCCCTTTCCCAGGCTCTACTTGGGAGTTACATGGGGAATGGGCTCGGTTTGCAGCCTGATCCTTTCCAGGCAGTGTGTGTGTGTGTGTGTGTGTGTGTGTGTGTGTGTGTGTGTGTTTTAGTAGCTCTGGGGACCCCAGACTCTGGGTGACTTAACTTCTTTGGGAAATGCAGCACCAGCCATGTTTGGTTGAATTGTGCCTTAAATAAAGGGGCATACATACAGTAGACGTTCAATAAGTGTGGTGGTCGTCCGAGGCCTCTTTGAGGTCCCCGAAAGTGAGAGCTGCAAAGGCAACCTCTGGGTCCCCACCTGTCTTTTGAGAATGCACGTCCGCTTCATTGGGCTTAACGCTAAGGAAGCATTAACTAAAGGGTACACAGTAAGTACTCAATAAATGTCATCTGGTGGTCGAGGTAGGTCACCAAGATGTCCCACATGCATGGGCTGCAGAGCCCCAGGCACCCTGGGAAAGAGACCGGCGCCCCCTCCCCGCCCCCCTGGAGTTTCAGGGTGGGGTGAGTGTGGGAGGCGCAGGTGGCGAGGCCTCCCAGTGCTCTGCTGAGCGACTGCGTGGCGGTCACCCTCGCTGCGCATCCCGCACCTCGCCAGGGAGAAAGCGAGGGGAGAGTGGCATGGCCTCAGTCATGGTCGCAGTGAGGACGACCACTTTTATTTCCTGCCTTCCGGGTGGGCGCTGACACAGACTGAGCGCGCAGTGTGTACCAAGCTCCCTCCCTGCACCATGGCTTGTTCTGTTTCCTCAAGGACGGGGGTGGGGGGGGGTGCAGCGGCTATGCTCACATCTGCATTTTGCAAACGGGAAACTGAGGCTGGACAGGCCGTTACTGCCCAGAGCCTCGGGCTCGCTGGAGTCGGAGCCACACGTGTGCGCCAGGCTCAGCCGCACGCAGGGACCACCGGCAGCCTCTGCGCAGCACGGAACACACTGCGCCAGCAAGGCGTGCAGGCTCGCGTAGGACTGTCTCCCACGGCCATCGGGGGCTCCCGGGTGACTCACATATGCATCCCCTCCCCCGCCAGCCTGGGCCTGGCCAAGGTCCCGCGGCTAGGTTCCCCGGCTGCGCAGCCGGTGGGTGCGGCTGACGCATCGCACCGCCTCCGCACCGCCCACCGCGGGGACGCGAAATGTCCCCGGCGTGCGAGGCGCGACGGCGCCACCTGGTGGCCGTCATGGGTTACTACGCCCACGCTTCCGGTAGGGAGGGGCGGAGGGGGTGGCGAGAGAGGGAGGAGAGAACCCTGGGAATAGTTGATCTATACGGTATTTTACATGGGCTACATGTAGCATTCACTTTGTAGATACAGTTGTTTTTGCAAACGATCAAATCTATGTTTACATCCACTATAGATGGAATAGTTTCAAACATCAAATTGACAGATTGTCAATAACCTTTGTGGTTATTATGTTTAAAAATATATGAATATTTATGATTAGGTTTTAATTTTGGCTGTACTGGGATTTGAACTCAGGCTAGAGCTAGGCAGGCGCTCTATTACTTGGGCCATTCCGTCAGCACAACGCCTCTGATTAGGGACTGGGGCATGGCTCAAATGGTAGAGTGCCTGCCTAGCAAGCACAAGGCCCTGAGTTCAATTCCTAGTACCGCCAGACGAAAAAAAAGAAAAGAAAAAAGAATATTTGATTACAACCATTACAGAGCCTCCAATTCGGTAGCAATAAATACATTCACAGTGATATAGAACATTAGCTCTATATCCACAGCTCTCCCATCATCCCTCACTCTACTCAGGAAATAATAACTCTCATTACCCTCTCCCACCCCTGATAGCTACTCATGTCTTTTCTGTCTCTGTGAAGTTGCCGATTCCAGGTACTCGGTTGTAAGAAGAATCGCACAAAATGCGTGATTGCCTTATTATGTGGCTGGCTTATTTCACTCAGTGTGATGTCCTCAAGGTTCATCCACATTGTAGCCGGTGTCAGAATTGCCTTCCCTTTTCAAGGCTGCGTGATATTCCACCTTGTGGCTGGACCTCATTGTGTGTATCCATTCATTCACCCCTCCATCCACAGGTAGCTTGCTTTTGGCAATGGTGCATGTCTGCTTTTGTAAATAAAGTGGGTTTTGTTTTGTTTTGTTTTTTGGAGAAAGGGTCTCACTATGTAGCCCAGGCTGGCCTTGAACTTGCAATCCTCCTGCTTCACCAAGTGCTGATAAAGTTTTTGTGTGTTTGTTTTTGGCGGTACTGGGGTTTGAACTCAGGGCCTTGGGCTTACTAGGCAGGTGTTCTATCACTTAAGCCACACCCCCAGCCCTTTCTGCTTTAGTTATTTTTCACTTTTGCCTGGGGCTGGCCTCTGACCTGCAGCCTCCTGGGTAGCTGGGATTATCTAACTGTAAATAAAGATGGGAGATTAGGGTCAGGTAGATAGGCTTTCGTTTCAGGCAAAAAATGTAAAGGAGCAACAAAAAATTTGATAATCAAAATAAGCAATACTGTACTATAAGTGTGTGTGTGTGTGCGTGTGTCCTGGGAACAGAACCCAGGGCCTCTTGCCAGCTAGGCACACTCGCTACCACTGAGCCACACTCCCAGGCCCGGTAACATTTTTGGAGGCACTGGGGTTTGAACTCAGGGCCTCATGCTTGCTAGGCAGGTGTTCTACCACTTGAGTCACTCCACCAGCCTTGTGTTGGGTATTTTTGAGATAGGATCTCAGGAACTATTTGCCTGAGCTGGCTTTGAACCACGATCCTCCTGATCTTTGCCTCCTGAGTATCTGGGATTACAGGAGTGAGCTACTGGAGCCCAGCCTGTAATCCCAGTACTTGAGAGGCTGAGGTATGAGGATTGTGAGTTGGAGGCCAGCCTGGGCCACATAATAAGACCATGGCTCAAAAACAACTCCCTCCTCCAAAAAAGCTTCACTGCCTCACAATGATTTGTATTGATGGTTGCGTTTTTGGGACCCCTTAGATTTTTTTCACTCTAGTCTAGGCTAAAGATGCCGCTGTCCTGCCCTGAGAACCACAGCCACCTCACATCTTAGTGTGGGAGTTGGCGCTTCACCATCCAGGACAATGAGCTTGCCCTACCACCTCGAAGTTGGGATCTTTTTCCTCTACAAATAAGAACATACCACTTTCTAAAATTAATCCTGCATTGCATCAAAGATGTGAAGTTAGGTGCTGGTGGCTCACTCCTGTAATCCTAGCTACTCAGGAGGCAGAAATCAGGAGGATCATTCAAAGCCAGCCAGGGCAAATAGTTCGCCAGATCCTATCTTGAAAAAAACCTATCACCAAAAAGGGCCGGTGGAGTGGCTCAAGGTGTAGACCCTGAGTTGAAACTCTAGCACTGAAAAAAGAAAAAGTGAATATTCTCACATCTATTGACACTACCTACAATGGAGCTCTGGTTGAGACTGTACCCATTTCACAGAAGAGAAATAGAGACCAGGAAAGATCATAGGATTGGCTCAGAGGCCCCGAACTCGGAGCTCCCTGAAGAGGTCCCAACATACTCCAAATATTCCCAGGCCTGGGAAACAGGGAGGCTCAGGTGTTTGGGGTCTAGAGAGAGAAAGATGGGGGTGACAAAGCAGGAAACAGCATCACAGACCTTGGAAACAGGCTGGACAAAAAGCTGGCCTCAGGGTGAAGGTTGTTTCAGCTGCTGTGGGCTGCACGTGACAAAGAGCCTGGACACATCTCTCTTTTGGTCCCTGCTTTCCTTTTTTTTTTTTTTTTTTTTTGCGGTGCTGGGGTTTGAACTCAGGGCCTTCATCTTGAGCCATTCCACCAGCCATTTTGTGTGTGTGTGTGTGTGTGTTGTGGGTTTTTTCGAGATAGGGTCTTGTGAACTATTTGCCCAGGCTGGCTTTGAACGGCAATCCTCCCGATCTCTGCCTCCTGAGTCTAGGATTATAGGGGTGAGCCACCGGCGCCGGCTTCTTTTATTTACATTTCAGTGTAGTTGATATCCTATAAAACTCAGCCATCCATTGTCCCTGGCTCAGTGAACTTTAGAGTCACAAGTTGTGCAAGTAGCATCCCTAATTCAGAAGGAGATAAGTACAACCTAAATAATTTAAATAAAAAGGAAGGCCAGGGCTGAGTGCCAGTGGCTCACACCTGTAATCCCAGCTACTCGGGAGCCAGAGATCAGGAGGATTGAGGTTCGAAGCCAGCCCTGGCAAACAGTTTGTGAGACCCTGTCGTAAAACCATTTCAAAAAAGGGCTGGTGGAGTGGCTCAAGGTGGCCCTGAGTTCAAACCCCAGTACTGCCAAATGAAAAAGTCCAGGAGAATTGGCTCATGCCTCTTATGTTAGTTATTTGGAGGCAGAGATTGGGAGGGTTGAGATTCAAGGACAACTCTGGGTAAAAATTTCGAGGACCCCCCCATCTTAACCAATAGGAGCTCTGAGATGTGGCATGAGCCTGTCATCCCTGGGGAGGCATAAATAGGAGGATCTTGGGCTGATGGAATGGCTCAAGTATTAGACCGCCTGCCTGGCAAGTGCTAAGTTCCTGAGTTCAAATCCTAGTACCACCCCCCCCAAAAAAACCAAACCTTTAAAATAGGAGAATCTCAGCCCAGACGTAAATATGAGATCCTATTTGAAAATAAAGTAAAAAGGGCTGATGGAATGGCTCAAGTGGTAGAGTGCCTGCCTAGGAAATTCAAGGCCCTGAGTACAAACCCCAGTACTGGA